CTTCATCTACATCAAACCTTCCGCAAAGGAAGGAGTGGCCATAAACAAAGTGGTGTCTGTGCTCACCGCTTCAGTTGCCCCTTTGCTGAATCCATTCATTTATACCCTTCGAAACAAACAAGGGAAAGAAACCTTCAAAGACACAGTAAAATGGATTGTGTTTCTCACAAAGAGGTAAGACACTATTGCTGTTTTTTGAGACTGACTTAAAATTAAACCTGAATAACCCAGGAGCAACATTCATGAATTTGCCAAATAAATAGTTTCTTCCGATTCTGTAGGTTAATCAAGCGAATCCTCTCCCAGGAATTTTCTTTTATACTCCAAATGCCAAAATCAAGCTCCTTCTTTCAAGTTTATTTTATTCAAAATGTTTTTTTCCCCATTAATACGTGTTTCAGAGACTAGATTCCCAAAATACTCAATGTCATAAAAGGGAAATAAAGATACATGAAGCTGTATGTCTGGGCATATGGCCTTCTCGTGATGTGGAATATAAATGCCCAGAGAGCATTTCTCACATGTTAGGAAGACTCCAGTGCCCAGTGTCCAGTTGAACAAGAGTAATTAAAAATTCTTCATCAAAGCTTAAAACATGGTCTTAAAGAAAAGTTTGCACTCCAGAGCTCTCTTTGTCATGTTAAAATGTCCAGTTTTTAGGAATGAGTAAAAGGTGTTAATGGGGAAAATTCAAAATCAGTGAAGATAATAATTTTAAACCAATTTATCTACAAAAATGTTTCTACTGGCCTATCTAGAAATGATGTGCATGTACTGCATCTTGAAATACCTGATTACAGAAGAGAAGGAACAAGACTTCTGAGCGCTAGAGTCGTCTACTGACACGGCCCCTGACGGTGCTTAGACACAGACCCCAGGAGAACAAGCCCTGACTTTGGGAGTAGGGCGAGTAAATCTTACCAGAAACATAAACATGAAGGCAAAAAAGAAATTTAAGAAGATGATATGGGAGAACAGTTTCATAGCCTTGGGTTAGGGAAGAATTTCTTAAATTAGATACAACAAACAATTGATAAACACAACTGCATTAAGATTAAGAATTTGTTCACCAAAAGAAACCCATTAACAGAGTCAATAGTAAAAGATATCTGCAACTCATATAACCCAAAAAGTAATTAAATTGAGAATATATAAGGAATTCCAATAAATCAATAGGAAAAAGACAGATAACCCAATGAAAAAGAAGTGGTCAAGAGACCGGAATAGGAACTTCAAAAAAGAGAAAAATAAATGGCTAATATAGGTATAGAAAATTCTTCACCTACACTAGTAATTACAGAAAAGCAGATTAAGGTCACATGAGTTCCCTAATTCAAAAAGATACATGCACCCCAATGTTCATAGCAGCACTGTTTACAATAGCCAACCTAAAAGTCCATCGACAGATGAATGGATTAAATAAGATGTGGGGTGTGTGTGTGTGTGTGTGTGTGTGTGTGTGTATATATACACACACATACACAATGAAATACTACTCAGCCATAAAGAGAATGAGATAATGCCATTTGCAGCAACATGGATGGACCTAGAGATTACACAAAGTGAAGTAAGACAAAGACAATGACATTGCTTATATGTGGAATCTAAAAAATGATACAAATGAACTTGTTTGCAGAACAGAAATAGACTCACAGACATAGACATACCAGAGGTGGTGATACTGGAAATAATTAGAGTACTTTGAAATCAGTTTGGCATCACTAGTAAAGTTGAAGCTATTCATACCAATAACCCAGCAATTCCATTCTTGGAATATATTTCATAGAGAAAATTTCAGACGGGTCACTATAGCTGTACATTTCATAATTTCCCCAAAATGAAAAATAAATTCCTGTCAGCTGAATGAATGAATAAATTATAGTAAATTCATACAGTGGAATACTATAGTGAAAATGAATGACTCACAGCAACACAAATGAATACTAAGCATAAAATTGAACAAAAGAAGCAAGACAGTAAAGAATACATACAATGTAATCCCAAATTTATAAAGTTTGAAAACAGGCAACACTAAACTATATTGTTTAAGGATCTATACTTAAGTAATAAGATTATAAGTGTAAGCAATTTAGTTGGTTGAAATTTCCTCATATGCAAATGCAGATAAAAATAAGAACAGGCTGCAAAGATTTCTGTGAGGACTAAATAACTTACTGCATGTAACAGACTCAGCCTCTCCTTTAAAAACAATAGAGAACACTTAACAAGCAAAGTTACTCATATGGTTCTCCTTGGTCTTGCTGTT